CAAGGGATGGGTGAATTCTAAATGCTAAATAGAATGTTGGCCGTGCCATTCCTGATTCACGCGGACGGCCGGGTGGGCATGTTGGAACGCACAGACTTCAGGACCGTCATGATGTGTTCAGTCCATAATGAAATAAGTCAAACTCAGAAACCGGACAGGTCGTGTGAGCCTCCATGCAAGCAGTGATGGGGAAGTGGGTTCTGTCATTGGTAGCCCGTCGTTCCCCCAAGGGAGCCGCCGTGTGGGCTGCGGTGGGCGACCGCTGTGTGCGCAGAAGGGGGAACCAGCCTGAACCTTGGCGTTGTGGACTCGGGGCCGGCCCGGGGCCCGTGGCCCGTGGCACCAGCCGAGGAACTGATGTGTGTGCCAGGCTTCCTCTGAGGACCCTGCTTAAGGCCGGGGAGGCTGGCGGGAAGCCTTTGCAGTGGGAGGAGTGGCTGTGGCATTAGCGGACGGGTTGTGGGTGAAAGGGCACCCTCCTTCCCTTGGAAAGCCTCTAAGGAATCCTGAGGGTTTTTGAATAGGGCAGGGCTGTTTACCTCGCAGCAGAGGATGATCGCGTGACACCGTATTTGGCCGTGCCAGGGGGTGTCGGGCTGCTGGGTAGTGGAATGTTGCTTTCACTCTGGGCTGGGACTTAGTCTCTGGGTGAGCCTTGGAATAGGGCCAAGAGGTGGAAAGATCGATGACACGTCAACCTTGCAGAAAGAGGTGTCTGTCCATCCCCTCCTACCTGTCCTGACACTGGTGTTTCTCCTGTTCCACGGACTGGCTGCTCACAGTGAAGAGGCCCCCATGCAGCCTCAGCCCTTTGATACAAGGACAGCTGGGCTGAAGGCAGGCAAGCAGGCAGGCAGGCGTGGGGCCCGGCTACCTGAACCCTCTCGGTCAGCTCGGTGGCTCTGTGCCCTGCCCGACTCAGGCATCGTCTCTCCCATGAAAGTCCTTCAAGCCAGCAGGTAGGAGCTGGGCCGGAGGGTTTCTGTGGATTCTGAATTGCTCCAGCGGGTCTGGCCGCTTCCAAACGTATAGTAGGTCTGGAGCTCAGAGGAAAGAAACACTGCTTCCCCTGCCCAGAAGTACATTAAGCTTATTTTCGGTCTGTTTTTATTAATAACTGGTTAGACTTTGTTCCCTAAGCAAAACTTTTTGTGTAAGCTTTCATTCTTTGGATTTCTTTTTTATCTGACAGCATTTTTTTTTTTTTTTTTTTTAGACTAAAAGGAATAGTCATTTTTTCACCAAAGCCTCCTCGTTTGCAGTGTGGGTGTGAATGGGAAATGTTATTTATTGCACAAACACTTATATACAGAGTTTTGCTTATTTAGATGGAGCTTATAGGGGGTTCCTCCCACATCAGGAAACTAAAAGGGAGGCTTCAGGGATTTTACAGTAGATGCAACAAAAACGTTTTATTTTGTAGCCCAAACCAGCCTGTTGTGCTGCATCTGTCTATTGGCAAAATCACTTATTTAGCATGAAATTACCTAATATATTTTGAATTTTCCAGAGGTGCCTAGGATGACACCAGAACAACTTTTATTGAAATTGATCCTTTGAAAGTTCCTTCCTAATGTATCTCCCCAGCGAAGCAAGTAGTCGTAATTAACGGGACATTCATTTTTATTGGAGTTTTGCTGAAATGAGTCAATACAAAGTCAGTTGGATGATTTATGTTAAGTATTTTAAAATAAACTTTCAAGTGATGACAGCTTGTCCGATTTCTAAAGAGATGAGGGATTATGATCCATATAAATCAGAAGTTCTCAACCGGGGGTGATTTGGCAATGGAGGCAATTTTGGTTGGCGCACGTGGGGCCAGGGGCGATACTGGCATTGAGCGGGTAGAGACCAGGGATGCTGTTAAATACATAGGGCAGCTACCAGGACAAATGATTGTCTGGCTCTAATTGTCAGTAGTGCTGAGAATGTGCACTCAAAGCCCTGGTATAAATATGCCCCCGCCCAAGAGGCAAGAGCGTTATTTTATTCAGGGGAAGTTAGAATTGCCGAGTCCAGGATGGAGGGACCTGCTCTTGAGATCTGCGCTATGCGGAGGAGAAGACATTCAAGGAATCAGCCTCCCCGGGTTGCGTCTGAGAAAAGCCCACTCTAAGTGAAGACTGAATGCCCTTCCCTGGCACCTTCCCGGGAACGGCTGTTTATAGTGTCTTTATTTTGAGAAAAGAGGTAGCATGTTATAGCCTGAAAATTACAAACTTCTAAAAATCACCTGTTCTCATTAAATCCGCTTTCCTTCGGTTAACGCGACCAGCCTGTAATTTTGTCTCCTCACCACTCGACCTCCGTGTCCTATTTTAGCTGCTCTTTCACTTGACAGGGCATGTCCCGCTTCTCTAATTGTCACTTTCCGGGTCCCAGGGAAGGCACGTTCTAGGCGCTTGTGTGGTTTTTCTCTCCCTTTCCTTCCGGAGGTGGCCGTGTCAGGCTGGAGACAGGAGGGAGGGCTACGGGCAGTGTAGGGTAGGTCCACGGGCAGCGGGTCTCTCTGTGTTGACACATGGAAGAATTACGTGCAAGGGAAGAATTTGCTCTTAGCTCCTGGTTGACCTGCGCTGGGTCTCGCGGTCGAGACCAGGTAGCGCCCCCGTCCGTCGGACTGGTGCCCCTGGTCCAGATCTCCTTGTTGTGATGAAGAGCCTCTCGTTTGCCCCGCCCCCCACCACTCCCTCTCTAAAATAAACAACTCAGTCTTTAAAAAATGAAAATAAAATTGTGTAATGTCTGTTCTCCAGTCCTACTGGATTTCTGTGTCGCCCTGTGCCCTTGGTGCTCCATCTCCGTTTTCCTTCTCTTTGTGGGGGTCTCTTGTTCAGTTACAGTTTCCCAGTAGGTGGTTCTCTTTAACCCTTTCTTTTGCTTCCCTGCTTACCCCTGGTGAAGCTTAGCCCCATCCAGAATGTAAACATTCCAAACCTCCAGTGCTGTCTCTGAATTCCTGTTTTTCTGAGCACCCAACCTGGATTTGCAGCAGCCTGCTGCCTTCCCTTAAATGTACTCTCAGCATCTTAAACTCCACATGTGAAACTGAATGATCATATTCTCATCTAAATAAAGTTCTTCTGTTGATTATGATATTTAAATGAGGGGCATTACTGCTCTTATGGTCACTTGTATTTTCTGTCTTGAGTCTGTGCCTCTTTGTTTTCTTTTGCCCCAAATGTAGCAGATTAAAACGACCGCCATTTTGTTATACTTCATACTTTGGAGGTTAGGAATTTGGGCAGGGCTCAACTGGGTGATTCTTTTGCTCTTGTGATACTGAAGTTACTCGGTGGGTTTCAGCTTTACTCACATATCAAGTGCTTTGGTGGGGATGGCTGGGAAGCTGGCCTCAGGGGGAAATGTCCCCGGGAGTCCCCGTATGTGGCCTCTGTGACATGGCTGTCTCGGCTAGTTGGGACTTCTGATCCTGGTTTCTTAGCCCTGTAGAGAATGTGTTCTAAGGGACAGGAAGTGGAAATTGCCAGGCTCTTAGGGTCTGGGCTTGGAAACTAGCAAGCCATCACTTTAGTTAAATTCGAATGAACAAAGCAGTTACAGAGCCAATCCAGATTCAAGAGAATGGGCATAAACCCGGCTTTCATGGGTCGAAGAAGCTGTGGCCATGTACAGTTTGCCATACTTCCCCTTTCCCATCACACTGAGTGTTTGCTGTGCTTGCCTGAATTTTTATTCACATCGATAACACCCAAAGTCACAGCTTCATTTATTTCTCTCCTGAATAGTTACTGTAGGTTCAAATTAACTTCTCTGTCTTTATGCTCCTCTCTATCCAATTTCCTGCATACACTATTCTGAGAACAACCCTTTATGTTTCTTCTGCAGTTACTCTACCATGGTAGCTTGTTGACTAGAAATAGAGACCTCACACCTTGGTGTGGGGCCCCTTCCAGATCTTAACCCAAGCCCCTGTCTAAACTGCTTCCCACTAACTCTCCTCTGTATCTCCTGGGATCTGGCTCAAGTACAGTAAACTGTTCCCCAAACTGTTATTACCGCCTCCTTCCTCAGGAGCACGTCTTCATCCCCCTTCCCTTGGCATGAAACGCACTTCAGAATCCTCCATCTGTTGAAATCCTCTTTATTCTTCAGTATGAAACCCAAATGTGAGCTCTGCACGGGACCCACCTGGGTTCCTCTAAATGGTGGTGGTGCTCTCCTAAGTCGTAAAACACTTCTGCCCCTTTCCACGCTTTTCTAATGGCTTGGCTTACAGTTATTTTTACAAGCCCATCTTATTTTAAAGCTTATTAATCTTCTAAATTATTCATAATCTCTAGATTCTCCCAGCTCCCAGCCTTGCAATTTCATTTCACCCAGTAGGTGCTCACTATGGCTTTTTATTTGATTCATGCTGGATTTCGAGCCAGAAGCTTTGCAGGCAGGTCATCTATAAATTTCAAAGGATACATTCGCCAAATATGGGCAGTTTTTAAGAGTTGGGTAGCATAATATCAGGTTAGTGGGGGAAGACAGTGGTCACGGTGTTACTAAACAGGGGCTTTGGATGTCAAAAAGGGAAGGGTAGGGAATCCTCAGGGTTTCCACGCATGGATCTGTGCTAGCGCGAGGGGGCGAGGAAGATATTCTAAGGGAAAAACCATCAGTGGTCACAGCTATTAAACTGCTTTTTTCAGAAGTGATGACTTGGTACAGGTTAAACTTGAACATTTCTCCTTTTATAATAAATGGGTTATTTCATAAAATTATGTGCAGGAGGAGAGGTCTGTACCAAAACGTACTCACATGTATTTGAAGTACCACCTAGAAAAAGGTACGTTTGTCCAAGCCCTCGGAGGCTCTCCTTTTTTAAAGATAGTGATGAGGCTTAACTAAAAGGCCACCCACCAGAGAACCTGAACTCACAGTCATCAAATTGTTCTCTTTTGTGTGTTTTAGGCCCTTGCCCCACATGACAGGAAGACGAGCTTCTGGTTAGAAGACAAGTGCCCAGAGTCCAAGGCCGTCTGCCCACCATGAAGGGGACCTGCGTCATTGCATGGCTGTTCTCCAGCCTGGGGTGGTGGAGACTCGCCCAGCCGGAAACGGACGCATCTCAGTGCCAGAGAGCGGAGCACCCGGTCATTTCCTATAAAGGTGAGGGGCAGGCACCCTCGGACTGCAAGGGTATCACTTACATGCATTTTCCATGCTCAGTGATAGAGAATAGCAATGGTTATTGCTCTATCATTCCGTGACTCGTGTTTTAGGCATTGTTTAAAATAGAAGCACAGGTACAAAATCCTCCATTGCAAGAACCTCCTCTTCCGAAACTGATCACTACAATCTCGAGAAGAATTCAAAATTGGAGTTATTACGGGGAGAAAATCCCATTGTTGAGGCCGCCTTTATTTAAAGGTGCTGCGAGCCTCCTAGGCATTCGAACCAGGGGCTAAAAATGTGGTCTACATAAATAATAATAAAACCAAGTAACAAAAGAATTCACTTCAGCGTTTCCCAACAAAGCCTTAGTCTTACCACAAAACTTAACGCCTTGGTCTCTCTATCTCACACTGCATGGCAGACAGAATTGATCTGGTGTCTTAAGAATGTCAGTGGATCTGTAGGATTAATTACCTAGTATGTGTACCCAGTCATTTTTTTCTTTTATTTATCAAAATTTATTTAGGGCTCTCTCTACCCTGGGTACTCTAAGCCTTCAGGATGAAAAATAAATTAGTCTTTGTCCCTGTCCTCAAGGAACTTACAGTTTTATTACCAAGCCAACTATAATTAATCAGACATTATATTTTAATAATTCATCCAATAAATAGCTTTATGTTTTAAACTTTGTATCATGAAAAATTTCAAATATCTGCAAAAATAGAAAGAATAATCTAAGGAACACCCAACCCAACATTTATTAATTCATGTCCCGCCTTTTTTCCTTTAAATCGCCGTGCATGCTCCACCCCACACCCATCAAATTATTCTGAAGCAAATTCAAAAAATCATATAATTGTATCTATAATATTTCAGTTCATGGTTATGAAAGAAAGGGAATTCCCAGTGCCATTATTGCATCAGACAAAAAATGCAAAAAAATCCCAAAACCAAAAACCAAAAAACCCAAACCCAATTCCATAAAATCACCTGACATTCGGTGAGTATTGTGAGAGCCCTGATGGTCTCATGAATGCTGCTGCGTTTTTTTGTTGTTGTTGTTGTTAACACATTGGGTTGAATCAGGATCTAAATGGAGCTCATGCACTTCAGTTGGTTGGTCTTCTGTTTTGTTGTGGTTGTTGCTTCCTTTGCAAATTAGTTACAGAAGAAATCCGAGCTCTTTGTCCTTTAGCATTTCCCACAGTCTGGATTTTGCCACGTGCATCCCCTTGGTGTTCAAATGTTCTGTCTCGAATATTTGTGTGAATTCATGGTAGTATCAAGAGGAGGCTTCGATTCAGGTTTGAATCTTTCTGTCTCCCCTGTGGCACGGATGCTACCGTGTCCTTCTGTAGGAAGGCAAGTCTTGTGTGGTGTGAAATTAGCAGTCAGTGATGATCACGGCCGGAATCTACTGATTCCTTCAATGGTGTAGAGCTGGGATTTCCTAATTTTATTATTCTTTCTTCATTTAATAGCAAGAATATTTCTGTATAAGGTAACTTTCCCTTATCAACTATTTGAATATCCTGAGGCTACAGCTCGTATAGAAAAGTCAGAATTGATGCTTTTGTCCTTTCCTTCGCTTTCCTAGTTTTTTTTTTGTTTTTTTAAAGACTAGTTAGTTGGTTCTCTAACATTATCCAAAGGGAGCAATTAAGATGTTATGTTTACTTTTTGTTTTGTCTTGTTTTCTTATTTTGGTTATTAGAATCATTGTTAATATATGGATTTTTAACATTTGAATTATTTCAGGCAGTTGCAGTTTTGATGCTTATAGGGGGTGAAATCATCTCATTTTAAGCCTGTGGAAGCCTCTTCAAGTGGGCTTCTGAACGATTCTGACATAACCCAGGTCGCCTTTGCCAGCTTGCCTACTCTCTGGGACAGCAAGATGTTCTTGATTCTTCTCAGCTGCTTCCTTCCGTAGACCTGAGAATCAGCCGTTTTGGGCTGATTTAAGCACGGACGTCCCCAGTGTTGGGTCTTTTCAGTGTACAGAGCTCAGGAAAAATTTTTTAGATGGCACCATAATTCCTCTGGATGCTTCCAGTTCATCTCCAAGACGTTAGGGCTTTTCTGAACCTCTTCTACTTTCTGTCTGTGTCTTTTTGTCCCGGGCACAGAATCCTGAGTCTCTGTTGCCAACACGGTCATTCGTTTGCCTTTTCCTGCAGTAGACCCTGCATCGTTTCAGAGAGAGTCAAGCAACTCTAGTCGTTTTTGACGACTCAAAGCGCTATAAGATGGTCTGCTTCTCTTCTTTTAGTCCTGGGACTACCAATGTCCTTGGGAAACTAAAGCAGTTACTTCAGTTGAAGGAATTTCCTTCTGCATGGTTATGCTGCCAACTCGAAACCTGGTTCGTTTCATGTGTTTAATTTCCCTTTTGATTTTTAGAAATTTAAAAAAATTTTACCTTATTATGTAGTGTTGAAGAGTTTCATTAATGAAAACAAGGAATGTTCGGAGAAACTGCCTTCACGTGTGTTTTCTCTACTCCGTTCCCTCTCTCTGCTCTCAGCTGACCTTTTACTTATATTTTAAGGTCCATGCTTCTTTTCTCAGTCTAGCATTTTTTTTTTTGACATGGTGGTATATCCTGGAGTCCACTCTCTAGTGGCAGAATCCATGCCACTCCTTTTCAGAGCACATAGCTCTCCATCGTGTGATGAACCATAGGGTACTCAGCAACTCCCCACTGGGAGATGTGTAGGGTATTTTCTGTCCTTTGTGGTCGTGGGTAGTGTTATGATGAGTAATGCCTACTGCAGACATCTCTTAATCCTTTACAAGTGTACCACTGGAAGAGAATCCTAGCAGTGGGATTGCTAGGTCAAAGGACAAATGCACATGTGGTTTGGCTAGATATTGCCCAGTTCCCTTTCATGAAGGTTGCGCCATTTTGTATTCTCGTTCCCCCTGGGTATGAGGATCTGTTTTCCACTGCCCTTTCCAGTGGAGTGTACTATCACTCTTTGGGATTTGCTGATCCCATAGTTTGTACATTTACAAACTATGGCATAATTTTAACTTGCATATGTTTAAGTTGGAGCAAATGTTTTACAAACATTTAACAGGTGCCTGTTACGTACCATGGTTTGTACTAAATATTGAGGAGATAGAGCAAAAAACACGGTCCCCATTAAGGGTTTAGAATATCTCGAGGAATATAAGCCCAAAGGAACATTGCATTACATTCTATTAAGGGTCCTCACAGGTGTCTTGGCTGGGTGCGGTGGGAGCCCAGGAGAGGGGCATCTGAACCAGAGAGCCTGGCTTTTAGGAGAGTTGTTACAGGTTTCTAGAATGAGGCAACAGCACAACTGAGTCCAAAATGATTGTTAGAAGGTGTTTATGAGTCTGATGAATGGACAGGTGTCTCGGGGAGAGGAAAAGAGCAAGTGCGGGAGAGGAGCGTAGCAGGTCCTGGCAAGTCTCCTGTAGGGTAAGCTATGAAATCTTCATTTGGGTTATGGGGAGGAGGTGGAGGGAGGTGAGGCTAAAGTAGTTGTAGGGGTTCAGTACTGTCTGGCATCTGAAGGCCCCTAAAGAAGCTCCCCCATCTGGGGCGCCTGGGTGGCTCGGTGGGTTGGGTGACTGCCTTCGGCTCAGGCCATGATCCTGGAGTCCCGGGATCGAGTCCCGCATCGGGCTCCCTGCTCGGCGAGGAGCCTGCTTCTCCCTCTGACCCTCCCCCCTCTCATGTGCTCTCTCTCTCTCTCTCATTCTCACGCTCTCAAAATAAATAAATAAATCTAAGAAAAAAAAAAAAAAAGAAGCTCCCCCATCTGGACAGGTTCCGTGTTCAGAACGGCAAAGGCAGCAGGGAGAGCCCATCCTGAGGTTGCCTCTGTGATCAGAGCGAGCGGTCATGAGGCACTAAGCTAAAGGGATGGTAGCAGAAATGTAAAGAATTAGGTGAATTCTAGAAATGCGTAGGAGGTGTTGATGATTTCATGGATGTAGGACAGGAGGGAGAAGGAGGTGCTGAGTATGATCCCCAAGTTCTTGGCTGTTGATTCCATATGGCATAAAGAAGGGGAATGGAAAATGATGATTTTAGATTGAGAAAAGCTGAGTTCCTACCCGCTGTTAGATGGGCTCTCTGGCTGAGAGCAAGGCATCATGGGATCCAAGAAGGGAGAGGCATCCCTCCAAGCATTGGATGATGCAGAGTTCGAGGCTGACGTGGGCCAGAGGGCAGAGTGACAAAGTCATCCTGGTTTGTCCAGGACTTTCCTGGAGGGAGGCACTGAAAGTCCTATGATCTGTGTATTAGTTTCTTAGGTTTGCTCTAACAAAATAAGACAAAGGGGGTGACTTAAAACAACAGAAATATTTTCTCTCATAGTTCTGGAGGCTAGAAGTAAAAAAAAAAAAAAAAAAGAAAAAGAAAAAGAAAAAAAGAAACCAAGGTGTCAGCAGGGCCGTGCTTTCTCTGACAGCTCTAGGGAAGAATCCTTCCCTGCCTCTTCTTAACTTCCGGGACTAGTCCGCAGTCCTTGGCGGTCTCAGGCTAGTAGGCGCATCCCTCCAGCCTGAGTCTGTACCCACACGGCATTCTCTCGGTGTGCCTGTCTTTTTGTCTTCTCCTCTTTTTATAAAGACACTGGTCATATTGGATGTAGGGCTCACCCTCCCCCAGCATGATCTCATTTTAACTAATTATATCTGAAAAGACCCTCTTTCCAAGTAAGGTCACATTCAAAGATACTAAGGTTTGGCCTTCGATGTATCTTTTTTGGAGGAACACAATTAAACCTGTAAGCAATGGCATACATCAGAGCAGTTTCAGGGCAGGGCTGGGGGAAGAACCTAGATGGTAATGAGCAGAGAAACAAATGTGAGGGGAAGGAAGAGATATAAAAGGAGACAGTTATTGACTCAGCCAGCAGGGATGTGAGAGCAGGGGACAGCTTTTAAGAGAGCATTACTTAATCATCCTTAAGTGGTGATGGGGAAAGGCCAGGTGAAGGAAGAGGCTGAAG